TGTCACATTTGTTCCAGCTGGAGAATCACTCTCACTGGACTGCTGAACTGAAAACATATATTATTGTTTCTTGAGGTGGTGGTTTTCTGGTTTTCCCCAGTGGATTCCAGTCTCCTTCCTTCCCCGTCCTACCCTGTTTGTGGGCTGATGACTACAAAGTTTACTCAGATGACTTGGCTATGACTTAGAATGAGAGACACTGTTAGGAGATGCAAGAGCAAAAGGAAAGGAAAGTCGCAGTGTGTATTTCCCTTTCTCCTTCCTTGCCTTGCCTTGCTTTTCACAACAGCATTCATCTATGGCCACAACTCCTGTTAGATAGTTCCTTTTTCAAAATTTAGTCTAAATCAGATTCTGGCAATGATTAATAGTTCCTCTTGCCCCCTCAGGCGAAGAGTGATAATGGATTTCTACTGTTGCTTGTCCTCAGATTCTTTTCATTCCTTGTCGGTTTAACTTTTGTCACATCTCCATAAGTTGCCAATTTTAAAAACTCTATTTACTTAAACTCTTTCAGTGTACTATCTGCATGCTGCTAGGACGCTAACTGATAAATTTCCAAAGCCTATGTTGTCCTCAGAAGCACACTGAAGACCAGTGAGTATCATCTCTCGTGTACACGTTTGCAGAAATCTCACCTTTCTTCAGCTCTTGAATTTTCCAGGCATTGAGTTTATTCTCTTTTTAAGTGGCAACAGAAAGCTTTTTTGAGCTTTCTTTTCTTTTTGGCAGTGGAGCCTGGTTCACATTTTCTTCTTTTGCCCTTTTCATTTCAGTAGTAGAGCCCAGCTCTCCATTACTTCTATCAAAGTTCCTAAACTTTCTCGGTTCAGTGTCCTCAGTGTCCTTGTAATGTTTCTGCAATGTGTCCCTAGACCTAAAGAAATACCCAACAGTTCCATGTATTAAGAAGGGCTTACTAGTTAGTATTTAAGTCTTAAAACAGGTGTTTTTGAAAAATACAAATACTGAGAGAAAACATAATATTTTTATTCCATCAGTACATACTTAAAATTAACTAATGGGACATGTCTGCCTGTTCTCACTATGTAACTTCCCAAACCTTGGGATCATAAGGATAACTGCAATCTATTCTCTTCTTCCACAATGATTCCTCATAGGAAGTTGCTTTTTATTATTGTTGAAAACCTACCTTAGCAAAGATATGACATCACCAGAAGAAATATGGAGTATTCTAATGTTGAAACTATGAACTACCTTGTGCTAGTAGTTCTCACAGTGTCCCATAGATGTTACTGTGAAAAGTGAAAATACTCTCTGGCACCCCAGGGCTCCTCAGCGAACAATTTGGGAACCTCAGCATTCTTTGTGCTAATTCTTTTGTGATAGATGTGTACTGTTCTTTTTTCATTGCACCACATGTTTTAATTTGTTGCTTTCCACCACACATAAGGCTGATGCAGTGCCTCTTACCTTGTTTGTTTACTTTCAGATCTTAGACTTCAGATAAGACACGCAGATTCCTTAGGTCTACACCAAGCAGTTTTCTTTTTGATCCTAGATTCAATTCATAATAAGACAAAATGAAACACAAGTTGGGACAGTACCTATCTCAACTCATACTGCTCAGCTTTTTTTGGTGGTAGTTTTACTCCATCTAGAATATTGTTGCTCCTAGACTTTGAAATTATCTAACAGCACGCCCTTGCCTTATAGAACTGACCTGCTTCATCTAGAAAATTGCCAGCATACCAGCAGTCACACTTGCATTTTAAATTCTAAACGTTGGGCCGGGCACAGTGGCTCACGCCTGTAATCCCAGCACTTTGGGAGGCCAAGGCGGGTGGATCACCTGAGGTCAGGAGTTTGAGACCAGCCTAGCCTACATGGCAAAACCCAGTCTCTACTAAAAATACAAAAATTAGCCGTGTGTGGTGGCGGGTGCCTGTAATCTCAGCTACTTGGGAGGCTGAGGCAGGAGAATCACTTGAAGCTGGGAGGCGGAGGTTGCAGAGAGCTGAGATTGCATCATTACACTCCAGCCTGGGCAGCGAGTGAAACAAAAAACAAAAAATAATAAAAAATAAATTATAAACATTAGTGACATCTTATGTAGAAGCTTTAGTCTATCTATATGGTACCTTGTTTTTCAGATACCATGTGACTGGTTTACTTATTCAAACCATGCTGGATGTTAGGATTTAAAGTGGGATTGGACACAAATGATGGAGTACTGACATAAAATATCTCTAGATCACAGCCACTCTCCCACTTATGTTTTGAAGAAAGTAACGCTCACTGGGAACAGTGCAAAGTAACAAAAAGTGAAGAGCTTTGTATGTAAAATGTTAGAAACAGATAATCGGTGCTGTGAAGAAAACTCAGCATGGAGACAAAGGATCTCTCAGCAAGGCGATCTTTACTTTCTGCAGAAAGGGTGCCCCTCGCAGATGGGACAATGGCAAGAGCACACCAGAACAAAGGAAAAGCAGACATATATATATATATCCCTTATGCATTTGAGTCATCCTCACTGCTGTGTCCTGCATCCGTTGGCTGGAGCTGGACCTCACAGTCTTAAACTGATTACCGATTTGCTAATAACCTAAAACTTTCCTAAATAGGTAAGTGCAAAGGAGAACAAAGAGAAAGAGGAAGTTGCTTATGAAAGGTTTAAGGAAGCAACAACATTTCCAAATAAGGAAGGGGCATAAGCTATGAACTAAGACGTGCCTGGGCCTGTCCAGACATGCCTGAGTAAGCCAAAGCAACTAACTGGGCTAAAGTGTAATAACTAATAGTTGATAGGAGGCTTTAGAGTAAGGAGTGATTATTCCTAGTGTCTTTTATTTTTAACCCAAGATGAGCTTTGAAGAGGAACTTTTCTACTTTCTACATAAAACTTCAATGTATAATTCTAGGAAAGCTAGCTTAAGGTCTATGAGGTGACTTATCCTAAATCTCAGATCATTTTAATTTTTATTTTTCTGAGACAGGGTCTTGCTGTGTTGCCCAGGCTGGAGTGTAGTGGCATGATCTTGACTTACTGCAACCTCTGCCTCCCGGGTTTAAGTGATTTTCATGCCTTAGCCTCCCAAGAGGCTGGGACCACAGGCACATGGCACCACACCTGGCTAGCTTTTGTATTTTTAGTAGAAATGGGGTCTCACCATGTTGGCCAGGCTAGTCTCGAACTCCTGACCTCAAGTAATTCACCCACCTCAGCCTCCCAAAGTGCTGGGATTACAGGCATAAGCCACCTTGCCCAGCCTGAAATGTACTTTAGTTTGAAGCATGGAATGAAGATACAGAGGAAAGAGAAATTAGTCAATGTGTTAATTTTACCAGAGCATCTGTAATAAATAGCAAATGAGGTGATTGGATCTTCTCTTATTCACAGTAAGACAAAATCTTACCATTTCAGCCAGTGTAAAAGTGTAATAAGAACTTCTAACAAGTACTAATTCTGTCTCTAGCATATGTGCATCTTGCATCTTCCTGATTCATAACGAGTCTTCCTTGCAACAGTGGAAGAAGGCAGGAGAAAGTAGACCTCTCTTCCTCCAATCTAAAAAAATGGAGTCTAAATTACCAATCCTGACATGATTCTTCCAGTTTATTTCCCAAAATAACTGCTTCCAAAATACTTACACTTCTAACTTGAATAGAATATTACAGCCTTAGTACCCCATCCCTTCTGTATGCCATTTGCTAGTCTTAAAATAATTATATTCTCCTCATACTTCTTTCATGACAATTCTCTCCCATATTAATTATGAGTCAGAGAGAAGAAATGAGGTGGGAGTCCCTGAGATCACATTCTCACTGCCATAGATGTACTTTTCTAATTGTTTTCCTGTTTGGCTATAAAACCCTCTGGCCCATTGTGTTTTGATTCATTTCTTTTCATGTTGCATTTTTTATAGGTGTTTTTCGTGTTCATTAGCGTCAACTAGATTTATAATTTAAGGTCAATAGATTTTTTTTACTGTATATACCAAGACCTTACATAATAAGATGCATAAGTTTATAAATTGAAATTTGTTATATAAAGTAAGTAATTTACTGCTTTGTAGAGCCTTAAAAGGAGAAACATTTATCTCTTTATGTGGATGGTGTACAGAAGCCTAAAAAACAAAATAATAGAAAAGTCCAGTACTTTATGATTAAAATATATATACATTAAAACATATAGGTAGTGGTCAGTATATGGATTGACCCCAGCTTAGGAACTATGTTCTACAGGTGCATTTAAACACTGATTATTAAAACCTTAAATATATTTCCCCACATGAGCATTTTCAATGTCTACTGTGTATTCTCTCATATAGCTTTGGTATAATTAACTTGTCCCTGGTTTTTGAACATTCAAATTCTTGCTAATTTGCTTTTTAAATTATGTTTTATTGTTATAATAAGCGAATATCTTTCTGTATAAAGCTTGGTCTGAATTTCCCCTTTCTGCCCTACGTACACAAAATGGGTCTTTGCTACCCAGTGGTATTTTGAAAATTAAATGACCTAATATTCTTAAAGTGCTTATTAGCACAATATGTGGCACATTGTGAGTACAGAATAAATGCTATTTGCAGAACTTTTTCTGACTCAGCAATGAGATAAAGAAATAAAAAGGTTTCAAATGAGTTCTTTGAAGCAAGCAAGCATTGGGTTAGTAACATAGCACGTGATGACAAACAGAGGAGGGAAATCCAAAAGATTGAAGCTGTAAGAGAAGGAGTTTTGGTGGTTATTCATCTGTACTGGTTGTTCCCAGTTGTGTATTCTTTAAGTATACTTTAGGAATACCTTAGCTGGAAAGTGTCACAGTGTAAGTTTTGTTCCTTTGAATTAAAATGTGTAAGTTTGATAAAGTAATATACAGTTGAGAAACATTACAAATCTCTTTAAAACAGTGTGACCTTTGTGTGTGTAATTTTTGTTCATTGTATTTGTATTTCATATTTTTGTGATATTTTATTCAAGTGTGTGTCCAATGATGTCTTTTCTGTTTTCTTTATTATTTTTTTTAATTATCCTAGTCACGTGAACTGGAAATTTCAGTTTATTGGCGTGATTGGCGGTCTCTGTGTGCTGTAAAATTTCTGAGGTTAGAAGATTTTTTAGACAACCAACGGCATGGCATGTGTCTCTATTTGGAACCACAGGGTACTTTATTTGCAGAGGTAATAAATGTATTTTATTAATGTGCATAACTACAATTGAAATTACGTATGTAGGCAGCATAATATAGAAGTGGAAAGAGTGTTAGGCTGAGAGACAGATGACTTGAGTTTTGGCTGAGCTATGCCACTGAATAGGTATGTGACCTTGAGACAAACCAATTATTCTTTCTATGTCTGTTTTCTCAGCTAGAAAATGAGGGGCTGGACTAAACTATAACTAAGATTCTCTTAAGCTTTCAAATTTTATAAGTTTAGTGGATTTCATGAACCATAAATCCAATGCTATTTTCATGTCAACTTGAATTTTCTTCACTGCAGGTTACCTTTTTTAACCCAGTTATTGAAAGAAGACCAAAACTTCAAAGACAGAAGAAAATTTTTTCAAAGCAACAAGGTAATTACTAACAATCAAATACATAGCATTTTGATATTTTCTTAAACATCTAATTACCATTTAAAAAGTAATAGCCATCTGTGGTTTTTTTTGTTGTTGTTTATTCATTTATTTCTAATTTCTTATTAAGGAATATTGTAAATGTATCCACAAGTGAAGAGACTAGTGAAATGTACAATCATCCAGCTTCAACAATAGTCAACTCATTTTATTTTATCCGTATTCCATCCTCTCACTACTTTCTCAAATTTGAAGCAAACCCAGACATCCTACTGATTTATTCATAAATATTATAGTTTATATCTGTAAAAGATAAGATTTCTTTTTAAAACCTTAACCACATATTACTACTAGACTTAAAAAGAAAAAAAAATTTCTTACCTATTTATTTTTAAAACTCCTTATGCTATTTTGCACCAGCCTTTACTAGCAAATAGTAAAAAACTAGTTTTTTTAAGTGACAAATTTTGTTTGTTCTTCATAGATTATAAACTGACAAGTAAGAATTTTTAAATTATGACTTTTGGTTATACATAAATTACTTGTTCTGTTTTTGTTATTTTCAATATCTATAGGCAAAACATTTCTCAGAGCTCCTCAAATGAATATTAATATTGCCACTTGGGGAAGGCTAGTAAGAAGAGCTATTCCTACAGTAAATCATTCTGGCACCTTCAGCCCTCAAGCTCCTGTGCCTACTACAGTGCCAGTGGTTGATGTACGCATCCCTGAACTAGCACCTCCAGCTAGGTATGTGTCTGAGATTTTAAGCATCTTATGCAAAGTTATTGGGACAATTACGTACTGATTATAGCAGGTGTACTGAGTCTTGTTTTTTCCCCCAAGTAGTATTTTGAAAGTAGTGTTCTGTGTACTTAAAAAGTAAATTGTTTGCTTTAATTTTAAAGTGGTTTAAAATACAGACTTTCTATTACTGTTTTGGTGAGTTACTTTATCTTCTATAAGTGATTCTACAGTAACCAAATTGGACTTTGATCTTGAGCCTGAACCTCCTCCAGCCCCACCACGAGCTTCTTCCCTTGGAGAAATAGATGAATCTTCTGAATTAAGAGTTTTGGATACACCAGGACAGGCAAGCCATTTTAAACCTTGCATAATTCCTTTTCACCGAATGAATTAGCAGTGAAAGCATCATAGTGAATAAGGCGTGTATTTCCATTTAAAATTGCCACTGTGAATTTATGGTTTTTTGTTTGTTTTTTGTTTTTGTTTTTTGAGACGGAGTTTCACTCTTGTTGCTCAGGCTGGAGTGCAATGGCATGATCTTGGCTTACTGCAGCCTCTGCCTCCCAGGTTCAAGTCATCCTCCTGCAAGCGATTCTCCTATCTCAGCCTCCCAAGTAACTAGGGTTACAGGCACATGCCACCATGACCAGCTAATTTTTGTATTTTTAGTAGAGATGGGGTTTCATCATATTAGTCAGGCTGGTCCTGACCTCGGGTGATCTGCCCGCCTCTGCCTTCCAAAGTGCTGGCATTACAGGCATGAGCCACTCCGCCCAGCCGAATTTGTGTTTCTTATGGTCTAGTCTCAGCTAAATTAGACTGAGTTGATAGGAGATAACCAACTTCTTAATGTTGGCATGAAATTGTCGTTAGCCTCTGGATGCTCATGGTCCAGAAGAGATAGAATAAGCTGCTTAAGCTATAGGTAACATAGGAGTGAGTTTGATACTACATGACATACTGCCTGAAATACTATTCTTCTTCTAGCATGATTAACATACATAATAATGTGTTAGTTTTTTGTTGTTTTGGTTTTGTTTTGTTTTGGTTTTAAGATAGAGTTTTGCTCTTGTTGCCCAGGCTGGAGTGCAATGGCACGATCTTGGCTCACTGCAACCTCCACCTCCTGGGTTCAAGTGATTCCCCTGCCTCAGCCTCCCAAGTAGCTGGGATTACAGGCATGCACCACCACGCCGGCTAGTTTTGTATTTTTAGTAGAGACAGGGTTTCTCCATGTTGGTGAGGCTGGTCACGAACTCCTGACCTCAGGTGAGCCGCCCGCCTTGGCCCCCAAAGTGCTGAGATTACAACCATGAGGCACCGCGCCCAGCCCAGTTTTTCAATTTTTTTTTTTTTTTTTTGAGACGGAGTCTTGCTCTGTCGCCCAGGCTTTGGTGCAGTGGCCGGATCTCAGCTCACTGCAAGCTCCGCCTCCCGGGTTTACCTGCCTCAGCCTCCCGAGTAGCTGAGACTACAGGCGCCTGCCACCTCGCCTGGCTAGTTTTTTGTATTTTTTAGTAGAGATGGGGTTTCACCGTGCACCGTGTTAGCCAGGATGGTCTCGATCTCCTGACCTCGTGATCCGCCCGTCTCAGCCTCCCAAAGTGCTGGGATTACAGGCTTGAGCCACCGCACCCGGCTCAAATTTTTTTAGATAAGTTTAATATAAAAGTAATGACTCCAGCTACTTGGGAGGCTGAGGTAGGAGGATTGCTTGAGGCCAGGAATTCAAGAGCTCTCTAGGCAAACATAGTGAGACCCACCTCTAAAAAAAGAAAAAAAAATTTTAAAGAATGAGTATCTGAATTTTACTTTTCACTCCAACATTTATATTGACTTTTGAAATGTTTTTCCTTAGTTTTATTATTACCAAATAAGTTGTTTTCTGGGTGTTTCTATGGTTTAATGTGTATTTAATATTTTACAGGATTCAGAGACTGTTTTTGATATTGAGAATGACAGAAATAGTATACTTCCAAAATCTCAATCTGAATACAAGCCTGATACTCCTCAGTCAGGCCTAGAATATAGTGGTATTCAAGAACTTGAGGATAAAAGGTAAAGAATATATACCAAGTTTTGCTACTACATGTTTGGTACCATAATTTGTTGTCTTATTATTAATTGACATTTCTCTTTTCAGATCTCAGCAAAGGTTTCAGTTTAATCTACAAGATTTCAGGTGTTGTGCTGTCTTGGGAAGAGGACATTTTGGAAAGGTAATCTTTTTGGAATTTTTTGGAATATCTACAACATTAACTCAAATGGAAAATAATTATTTTAATTTTATTTCAGGTGCTTTTAGCTGAATATAAACACACAAATGAGATGTTTGCTATAAAAGCCTTAAAGAAAGGTGATATTGTGGCTCGAGATGAAGTAGACAGGTTAGTTTTTAAAAATGAAATTGTTTATTTTTCTGAATTTGTAAGTTAAGAGAAATGATGTATATATTACAACAGCAAAATTATCACGATTTTACAGTAATATGTGAAGAAATTAAATATAATGTATCTATATTTGACATAAGGTAGACATTAGTTTTTCTTTTTTGCCCCTTCCTTTTTACCCTTCCTGTGACAATTAACTGGTTAATGGATACCAAAAAAAGATAGTGAAATGTTTAAACTAATTCTGTTAAGGTTTTTATATATGAAAATGTTAAAGTGTTTATATGGAATAGAAACTGTTATTCATCTGTTTGGTGGGGCTATATTTCATTCTATCTTAATGGAAATGATAAAAAGTCATTTACAAATAATCTACAGTTAATGGAATGTTTTAAAGTATTTTACACAGCAGAATATGTTATCTTATTTTTTCCCTCTATTTTTGTTAAAAACATGTTTTTTGACCCTAACGTCTGGGTCTAATTAAGTTGTGGATACATCTTTTTGTACAATTATTTATTTATTTATTTATTTAAGACAGAGTCTCACTGTCTCCCAGACTGCAGTGCAGTGGTGCCATCTTGGCTCACTGCAACCTCCACCTCCCGGGTTCAGGCACTTCCCCTGCCTCAGTCTCCCAAGTAGCTGGGACTACAGGCGCATGCCACCACGCCTGGCTATTTTTTTGTATTTTTAGTAGAGATGGGGTTTCACCATGTTAACCAGAATGGTCTCAATCTCCTGACCTCATGATCTGCCAGCCTCGGCCTCCCAAAGTGCTGGGATTACAGGCGTGAGCCACTGCGCCCGGCCTCATAATTATTAAAATGCAAGGATTTGGGGGGTTAAGATTGTAATTCACTCAGAGAATATACTTTAAGAAATGACTGTCTTAATACAGAATAATTAAATATGGACATTATTGTGTAAAAATGGCATATTTATCACAGAAAAAGGCTTTCATTGGACATTTTTCTTACACCACTAGGAAGCATATATTAATATTAATGGTAGACAGCCCTGCACAATGAAGAGAGCCCTGGGCTATGACTGAGAAGGCTGACGTTTCTAGTCCTCATTGCTCCTCCTTAGTAAGGATTTGACCCTAGGGCATTTCACTGAACATCTTTAAGCCCCAGTTAACTCATATATTTAAAAATATATTTGTTTTGGTAATACTTGCCTTACTGAGTTGTACTGATACATAGAGATGCCAAATTGCAACTTTTAATTTTTTTTTCCACCGTATGGGTAGTTCTTAGAATAAGGAAAGGCCTCAAAAGATTGAGATTTGTTTTTTTATGTTAAATAAACTTTTCCTTTTGGATTTTCCTATTTGTTTTTCACCGTTGTTTCTTTTCACTGTTTCTCATACACCTCAATCACATCAAAATCAATGCTTTCTTGATATCTAATACTAAAGAGCTTGCTGGATATTTGTAAAATATTCCGAGCACCATATTACATGTTTAGAATTATTTTTATGTTATACAAGCAGATAATTAAAGCAAGTCTGTGATCCCACCAAAGCAAGTCTTTGATTCTAAGGCTGTTTATAATTGGACTAACAGAAAGGTCAAATGTTTTCCTTCCCTGAAGGAATATTTGCTTTTCTCCAGATTCTTAAATGGTAAATTCATTTATTTTCTAAAATAATAGGGAACTGTTTACTACTTCTATTAATCTTGATTTATGTGGCTTTCTGCTACCTTGTTACAACTTTGTGCTAAATCTTTGTAGGAGAAATGCTTTCTAATTAAATCTACAGAAAATTCGGATCACAGGATAGTGCTGTAGCCAGAATCTAGGCCATTAGTAATCTCAACGGAAAATTAATCCAGTCTTGTGTAGAGGCAGGGTCTCACTGTGTCACCCACACTGGAGTGCAGTGGCATGAGCCTAGTTCACTGCAGCCTTGAGTTCCTGGGCTCAAGCCATCCTCCTGCCTCAGCTTCCCATTGGGACCACAGGTGCATACAACTGATCCATCTGCATTTCTTTCCCCCATAGAGTCAGGGTCTCCCTATGTTGTCCAGGCTGGTCTCAAACTCCTGGCTTCAGGCGATCCTCCTTGGCCTCCCGAAGTGTGGGATTATAGGTGTAAACCACCACACCCATTCTTAACTTAAATCTCTACTTTTCAGTAACATGAAAATTTAAAAATTTCAAGTAGAACTGGTATAAAAAGAGAGAAAAGAAAAATCCAAGAGTGAGAAATGAAACACACTCTTAGAGAAATTTGAGGAATGAAGATATGAAAAAGGAGTACTTTTAAATTTCTAGCATATCTGAAAGAAGGCAAGAAAAAAAAATTAGTTTATAAGTTTTTTTTTTTTAAGAGTAGCTTTTTTTTTTTATTTTATTTTATTTTATTTTATTTATTTTTTTTTTTTTGAGATGGAGATTTGCTCTTGTTGCCCAAGCTGAAGTGCAATGGCGCGCTCTCGGCTCACTGCAACCTCCGCCTATCAGGTTCAAGCGATTCTTGGAGCTGCCTCAGCCTCCTCAGTAGCTGGGATTAACAGGCGTGCACCACCATGCCCTGCTAATTTTTTGTATTTTTAGTAGAAACAGGGTTTCACCATGTTAGCCAGGCTGGTCTCAAACTCCTGACCTCTGGTCATCTGCCCACCTCAGCCTCCCAAGGTGCTGGGATTACAGGCATGAGCCACCGCACCCGGCCAAGACTAGCATTTTTTAAAAGTAATATATTTCATTACTTGCAAGTATAAATGGTAAATAACTTAAACTAAACTTATTATAACTGAGCAGAATTTTAAATATTTACTTTCCACTTCCTAGCTTATCTTTTTAAGCCATGGAATTCAGTGTCATTGTTTATTTTTTAATAGATGTTCCTAGAATACTTTATGTATATATTTTTTGAGACAGAGTCTCACTCTGTTGTCCAGGCTGGAGTGCAGTGGAGTGATCTCGGCTCACTACAACTTACGCCTCCAGGTTCAGGCGATTCTCCTTGCTCAGCCTCCCCAGTAGCCAGGATTACAGGTGTGCACCACCATGCCCAGTTCATTTTTGTATTTTCAGTACAGACAGGGTTTCACCATGTTGACCAGGCTGGTCTGCAACTCCTGACCTCCGGTGATCCATCTCCCTCAGCCTCCCAAAGTGCTGGGATTACAGGCGTGAGCCACTGTGCCTGGCCTAATTTATGATTCTTAATGACAGTTCTCATAGTCTAAATTTTCTTTCTATAGTCTGTATTATATTATTTTACTTTGAAATTATAAATCATAGAAAATTTCAAATCAGCCTCTTTTTAAGTGAACACAAATTATGGATTTTAAAATAAAGTGTTAGATAATTTATGAACAAAGATCATATTCTGTGTACCTACCATGAGTAAAACACTCTTAAGTCCTGTCTGCCCTTCAATTGCTGAGTAAGGATATTACGTTTATGTTATTGGAATGCCTCCTCACTCAGCTTCCTTTTCTTACCAATTTATATTTCAACACAACAGAATAGGGTTGGAAGTATATTTTTGTGTTTGTAGAAGAAAGCACAGCTAACCAGCTTATGTAGGATTCAATTCTAAGACCTTGGTTTTATTAATGATGTTTTCCCCTGACTAAAATGACTATTTATATAAGTTTTCAGGTTTCTAACTTATCTAAAAATATAATGAACTTTGAAGGAAGTACACAAAACATGTTAGGAACTAGTAACTTAGGGAAACAAGACATAAATACATTATGTAATAAAGGTGACTAGATAGAGTCCAGCTTAAAATAAGCAATACAAACAATAGCAGTTCTTAGGAGGAGATCAGTGTACTGGTGTACTACTACACCATAGTACATATAGTGTACTACTCCCTGGGCGTGCTACTAATCTTCCCTATTTTATTAAACAGCAATACCAGTTGCTCAAGCCAGACACAGTCATTCTTGATGCTCTTTTCCCCTTACCTACAACACTCAAACTATTAGCAAATCCAGTCAACTTCACCTCTAGAATATATCCCAAATCATAGAAAGCATAAAACCAATAGTAAATCTCTGTTGTATTTACTCTTAAATTTTCATTCCACATCTATAATCTGATGAAACAGCAACTGACATTTGTGTTGCACTTTTCACTTTGACACCTTTATTTGATTCTTGTCATCACTATTAGAAATATTTAGAGCAAGATTTAGGTAGAGTCTTATAAAAGAGGTGGGATTTTTGCTGGGTTTTGGTAGACAAGTTATTTGGGAATAAGGAGAGAAGAGTGATGACAATTTAGAGGGAAATATTCTGAACAGGATGAATAAGGTTTAAAGTTTTACATAAAGTTGGACTGTTGCATGGACTTTTAGGGACAATACACAATTTAGATAATGTGAGACAAGTTGAAGATTCGTATGCAATAGCTTTTTCGTGTACTATAAAATGCATAAAATTAAAATTATTGTGTCAATTTGGACCTATAGCCTTGCTCCTTTGTCTCATTGTTCAAAGACATCTATACAGATGTATCATCATTATTGTAATTCAAATAATTCCTGTGAATCACATTAAAATAATTTCAAGGGGTAGTCCAGCCAGTGGGTCTCAAATATTTTATACCATTTATATGTTCCACCCAGTTCTAACATCTGTTCAGTTGAGAACAGTTGTTTCATTCATAAGTTCACCCATAATGAATTAGTGAGTCACCCATAAATAAAAACTAGGGACAGGCGCTGGCATGGTGGTTCATACCTGTAATCTCAGGACTTTGGGAGGCCAAGGCAGGAGGATTGCTTGAGACCGGAAGTTCAAGACAAGCCTGGGCAACATAGTGAGACCCTGTCCCTATCAAAAAATAAAAGCCAGGCATGGTGGTATGTGCCTGTAGTACCAGCTACTCAGGAAGCTGAGGCAGGAGGTTCACTTGAGCCCAAGAGTTCAAGGTTACAGTGAGCCATGATCATGTCACTGCACTCCGGCTCCTGAAAGACAGAGCAAGATCCTATCTCAAAAAAACACACAACTGTAGATAATGAAGAGAACATACTTGTCATCTACTTAAGCCCAAAACATCTTAGTTTTGTCTTATTTCATCTGATTATTTTATCTACATTTAGCCAAAATTCAGATTGGCTTAATAAAGCAGATGTATTAGAATACGTCTTACAGATCTTGTCCAAAGCAATTTTTAAGTACATTATTTTCTAGTAAATTTAAATGACAAAAATAAAAACTATTAACTTTTTAATCTTCTATGAGTTTATTTATAATAGTGCCTTAATTTGTAGTAACATTTAGACACTTTGTCATGTATCGTCTTTATTTTCTAGTCTTTTAAATTAAAATTTTATGCAGCATATCTGTACCTCTCAACTTCATATCAATTTTATATGATAAAAAAATTTAATACTATA